GGGGGGGGGGGGGGGGGAGGGGGGGGGGGGGGGGGGGTGAGGGGGGGGGGGGGGGGGGGGGGGGGGGGGGGGCGGGGGGGGGGGGGCGGGGGGGGGGCGGGAGGGGGGGGGGGGGGCGGGGGGGGAGGGGGGGGGGGGGAGGAGCGGGGGGGGGGGGGGGGGGGGGGGGGGGAGGGGGGGGGGGGGGGGGGGGGGGAGGGGCGGGGGGGGGGGGGGGGGGGGGGGGGGGGGGGGGGGGGGGGGGGGGGGGGGGGGGGGGGGGGGGCGGGGGGGGGGGGGGGGGGAGGGGGGGGGGGGTGGGGGGGGGGGGGGGGGGGGGGGGGCGGGGGGGAGGGGGGGGGGGGGGGGGGGGGGGGGGGGGGGGGGGGGGGGGGGGGGGGGGGGGGGGGGGGGGGGGAGCGGGGGGGGGGGGGGGGGGGGGAGCGGGCGGGGGGGGGGGGGGGGGGGGGGGGGGGGGGGGGGGGGGGGGGGGGGGGGGCGGGGGGGGGGGGGGGGGGGGGGGGGGGGGGGGGGGGGGGGGGGGGGGGGGGGGGGGGGGGGGGGGCGGGGGGGGGGGGGGGGGGGGGGGGGGGGGGGGGGGGGGGGGGGGGGGGGGAGGGGGGGGGGGGGGGGGGGGGGGGGGGGGGGGGGGGGGGGGGCGGGGGGGGGGGGGGGGGGGGGGGGGGGGGGGGGGGGGGGGGGCGAGGGGGGGGGGGGGCAGGGGGGGGGGGGGGGGGGGGGGAGGGGGGGGCGGGGGGGCGGGGGGGGGGGGGACGGGGGGGGGGGGGAGGGGGGGGGGGGGGGGGGGGGGGGGGGGGGGGGGGGGGGGGGAGGGGGGGGGGGCGGGGGGGGGGGGGGCGGGGGGGGGGGGGGGGGGGGGGGGGGGGGGGACCAAGAAATAATTTTGAAGGACCTGTCAGAGCCTAAATCCTGCATCCCTTCTCCAGAGGCAGAGGGAAATCCTGAGCAGTCGTGTGAGGAGGTACTTATGGAAAATTATGCTGCCGACCTGACTTAACTGATCGGCCCTTAAAAAACCTGATCTAGAATTATACACTGATGGCAGTTCCTTTGTTAAAAATGGTGTCAGACATGCAGGGTTTGCAGTTGTGACAGAATTTGGCATCCTCAAATCAGGTCCTCTTCCTCCTAATACAAGTGCTCAATTGGCAGAATTAGTGGCCCTAACAGAAGCCCTAAGACTGTCAAAAGAACAGAGAGTCAACATCTATACAGATTCTAAGTATGCCTTCCTGATCCTGCATGCTCATGCAGCCATTTGGAAAAAAAGAGAAATGCTAACTACAACAGGAACAGCTTCCCATAGGGATAAAAGGGAGGTCACTTTAATAGTTTTAGGGATAACAGATTAGTACAGTCCTTGCTGGAATCAGTTATGGGGTGATTGCCAATCATGTAACTGCAAAAAACCTAACCAAAGTGGTAGAGGACACCTCAGACCAGGTAGGCCTTGCCATTAAGGACATACAGAGGTCTTTGTGGTCCCTTGCCTGTATGGTTATGGGCCACCACCTGGCCCTAGATTTTCTTTTGGCCAAACAAGGGGGGTATGTGCCATCGCCAATACCTCCTTGTTGCACATACATAAACACTTCGGGCATTGTAGAGGAATGTGCAGATTACATTCTCCAACAGGCTAAGTGGCTCCGGGAGCAATCTCTTGAAACTCAGGTTTCTACACAGGTATGGGAACAAAAAAACCCTGGGTCCCCGCCAGGACTTGGTTCCTACCCTTTCTGGGGCCTATAGTTGCCCTATTCTCTTGCTTGTGTTTGGGCCTTGCATTTTAAACTTACTTGTCAAGTTCGTTTCTTCTCGCCTAGAATCAATCAAACTACAAATGCCTCTGGTGGAGATGAAAACGACCTACTGCCGTCCCCTTGACGACCCCTCTCGCTGTGGGCCCCTTGTCAGCAGGAAGCAGTTACTGAATAGACCTCGTAATCCCTAACCCTAACCCTAACAGCAGTTAGAGGGACCATTGAGAGGGGGGGAATGAAGGACTAAAGGATGGACTGCAGGAGGTCCCAAAAGGTGTTAAGTGATCAAGGAGACACCTCTCCTTCCCAGGAAACCTCTGTCTGCACCTGAGAGACATCTCTGCCCCCAGGCAATGCAAAAAAAGGCTATAAAACCCAATCCCCAACCTGACCCAGGGGATCACCGGTTTCTGGGTCCCCCTGCATTCTCCAATATGCAGTCTTTCTCTTCTCTTCTCTACAAATAAAATCTTTCCGACCTCTGCTGTTGGAGTCTGCCTGTGCTTTCATCCTCAGAGTGGGCTCAAGAACCCTGAACACCTGAAATTCCTGCGCGGGTCATCCATGCATCAAAATGATGTAATGAAGTTGGGTTCCCTGATCTCAATGGGAAAATAGAGGAGGTCAAAGTGGCCAAGCAGTGACACTGAGTATTCAGAGACACTGTGCCCAATTACTGAAATAAACCACAGAGCAAAAAGGTCATTCGTGTTTTCTCAGGCAGTGAAACTAAGTGACCTGGGGTGGGGGAGGAGCTCCTAAAAGACAGTTCAATGAGAAGTCAACTAAGGTGATACCAAGGTGATAAACGGCTCTCCGCGGAAGCAATCTAACCCAGGTCGCCACAATGACCTCTTATTCAGCTCCCAGACTAAGCGAGTTCACAGACATGGACCCCCATGAATGAGCAAGAGGCTGGGTGTGTTTGAGAAGGACCCTGCACTGCAGTCAAGGGTGTAGACCGTAAATCCCCCCCACACCTGAGGGACCAGGGGCCATTTGACTATGGGAGTTGGGCACTGGTCATAGGGAGAAGATCAGACCTACCAAAGAATGACTTGCATGTCGGGGATGTGAATCCCCACCGTGAACCAGGGCAGGAGAAAGACTCATTCCACAATACAGCATCTGCATAGATAATGGAAAATCCTTTACCCACGGAGCGAGGGCTGTGAGGGTAGAAAAAGCCAAATGGTAATTCTGGTGCTACCAGCACCTCCACCAAGACAGCACACTAGAAGCAATAATGTCCCCCAGGCTCACCTCACTGTTGACTGTACTCCGTGCCCAGCCCAGAATAAGCAGCAGCCAATGCTGAGCCTGGAGCACAGGACACACCGTCATGGTGAGGTCTGTGCTTTGTCTCACAGGGCTAGACGCATACTGTGGGGTCCTTTGCTCTCTCTGCATGCTACTCAATGCCATGCTCTATGGTGCCCATGAAGTATTGCTTCCAACTAAGGGATATATGGCAAAGCGACCCGGATAAAGTCACACTCGTGGAACTCACAGACTCTCCCAGAAACCGCGCCCCCATACAGTAGGCTTACTGGAATGTTGGAATGGAGTACAAGTGGCTTATTAGGATACCAGGTGAGAGGGCTGGTGGAGTAGCTCAAGTGGTAAGAGAGCCTGTTAGCAAGTGTGAGGCCCTGAGTTCAAAACCCAGTGCCATAAAAAAATTAAAATAGGAACCAGGTGAGAGATAGTAGCCAGAAATCCAACAGGAGACAATGGCCAGTTTATTGTCTCACTTCCTTCATGGCCAAAGGCACGGGTCCAGGACATACAGGAAGGATAAGGGAGGGTCTCACTACTGTGCCTAACAACCTACTGAAAGAATGTTTGCTTCTTGTCCCTGTGAACTGGAGTGGTTGACAAGTCCCACCATAGCTCTAATCAACAGAAAACGATGAGTGCCCTTGAGCCATCTGTGAAAACAACTGGCAAAGGAGAGTGTTGCTCTGTGGATCATGTTGACTTGGTTGGGTTGATGGGTCAAGAAGACTATGTTTGATATTTCCTTGGCCAGGGCCCCAGTCTCAGAAAAGTGCAGAAACTCCATAAAGACAAGGTCATTCAAGACTCACTCCCCATCTGAGGGGAAGATTTGGGTCATACACTTGTTCAGATGAGGTGTTAGGAGGTGGCAAGGGATATGGAGTGAGTGGCAAAAGGGCACAGCTCTGATTGTTACCTGCTGCACATCCAAGACCTTAACTGTGTCATGTTATCTCCTCCTCCACCTTCCTCTCGTGATGTCATAGGAATTACTGGTGGCCTAGCACAGTGGGAGCATGACTTCATGGTCATTATCATGACAATGATTGAGTGATAACTCATGAGAATTGTGACTTCTGTATTGAGGACTCTGACTTCCATCTGGACAAAGGAAAGAATGACTGGCAACAGAGAAAAGGGTGGACTGTGAAGTGCACTTTCTGTTTTCTTCCCGGGATTCTTTATTCTCCCTTCTTCCCCGCTTCTCTGTGCTGTGAGTCACAGATCTACAGGACCTGTACCAATGGGATCTCCTGTCTTATGGAGTCCAGTGGGATTCAGCCAATGGAGAGCCCTAACACAGTGAGGTTGGAAAATTAACTTCCCAGCTCCCTCCTTGCCATTCAAGCTCTTTTAAGACAAACTCCGCCCACTCTGCCCTCTCTCTTTCCAGCAATGGCTCCTCTGCTCATCACCCTTTCAGGTCTAGGATGGAAACAAAGACGTAGCGTAACAACCCTAGAAACTGTGCTAACCTTTTTGCTGACTTTTCTCAACCCCCATGTCAATGCTGACATCATTAACCCTCCTTCAGATACTCCAATGAGGTGAGCCTCCCTGTTTGTGCTGAAACAAATGACTGATAAAGAACAGCACACAGGTCACGGTGCTCCTCCACCTCACAGGTCAAGGTGATGTTCAAATGCTTTGGCTGCAACCTCCTAAAGACTCTGTTACCACCTGAAGCTAGGAAGGAGGTGTGGACCAGACCAGTGGAGGACACGCACTGGGTGGTGACTTTCTTAGTGAACTTTGTTCCTCCTCCCCCATGTCCTGCTCTCCCTTACATACAGAAATCTCAGCATGGGGAGAAAGAACAGAGACTTTATTACCAACCCGTGTGGCCAACACATCCATGTCCGCTCTCCTATATGTCAAGTGCCCCAGGTCCCGGACCCTCTTATAGGTTGCTCTGAGGTGATGGAGCACATGTGGGGATAATAATGCATGGAGAGGATGGGGAAGTAATTTCTGGTACAAGGTCATTACATTTCAAGGTCAGTGGGAGGACTGGGTTGGATGGTCAGCAAGGGTTAAGACTCACAGGACAATGGATTTATCAGGGAGGGCAAAGCCCCCCACACCAAAGGGCTAGGGGTAGCCCTAGCCCCACCGCCCAAGCCAGGGAGGGGCCAGGGGCATCACTACTGGGGAGAACACTCTCAGTCTTCTGTTCAAAGGTTTCCTTCACAGAGAAGATCCCAAGAGTCTGGGCGTTGTTCAGCAGGGATCTTGAGGCTTGGGTCATGCAGCCCTGAATGCTCAATGTGGCTGAGAACCCACCTAGAGGTGAAAATCCAGTCAGAAGGATGCAGTTCAGCACACCTAAATACCGCAGACCCAGGGGTCCAGCCTCTACCTTCTTTATCTTTGAGACCCAGCCTTCTGAACTCACCTCCATTGAGGTTAATGTCACCATTGTAACAATGAGTAGTGCCCTTAGGGCAGGTGACCAATCTGGAGCTCTGGAAGCAGGACCCAGAGAACTGCACGCAGGCAAGACACTGCATGTCTCCTGGAGCAGGGGCAGCTGGGAAGCAGAGAGAATGTTGAGGTACACAAGTCTGCTATCAGCTGCAGCCACCCACTTGATAGTGTCCCTCCTTGTACCTGGCCGAGGGAGGGAGGTGAGCAGCTCACTGCTGCTGCTGGCTGAGTTGCAGAAGTCTGAGGAGCAGAACCGGGTATAGGAGGCCACCAGCATTCCAGGAGGCCGGGAGTGTACGGAGACAGCCTGGGAATTTTTTTGCCCAACTCTGCTGCAGCCTTTGCTCCCCACTATGAGTGATTTGTATCCTGAGGGCGTAAAAAAAGCAAAAGCTGGGGGAGAGGGAGAGGAGGGTCTGAGGGCAGCTGAGTCCTTAGCTTCCTTCCCCAAACAGAAGGTGAATGTAATCTCAGATTAGAAGAGCACAGGTCTGACCAGGTGTAGTGGCTCACCTCTATAATCTCAGCAACCTGGAGATCGGGAGGATCGTGGTTCACAAGACCAGCCCAAGCAAAAAGTTCATGAGACCCCCATCTCCACCAACACCATCCCAGCTAGGCAGGGAAGTAGGAATAGAAGGATTGCAGTCCAAGCTGGTCCCAGCAAAATGTGAGACCCCAATCTCAAAAATGACCAAAGCAAAAAGGGCCGGGGACGTGACTCAAGTGGTAACGCACCTACCTAGCAAGTGCAAGGCCTTGAATTCAAAGCCCAGAGTAGTGCAGGTCACATTTAGGGTCTGGCGAAGACTGGAGTCCTAGCCTGGGTCCTCCCCCTGCTCTGCCACCTCTAGGGTCTTTTTCAAATGTTGCCTTCTCTGTAGAGCCTCTCCTGGGCCTCACCTCCCTCTCTCTGCCTCCTTTTCCTGCCGGATCTCTCTCCAGAACTCTTATTTCTTCATAGTTTTCTCCTTTCGGTCTACTTTTGTTTCCCCACTACACTGTAAAGCTGAAACACAGCTCTACAGTACTTAAAAGTAAGGTGCTTGATGCCCTTCCCCTCTTTTTTCGGGGGGTACTGGGGTTTGAACTCAGGGCCTCACACTTACTAGGCAGGTGCTCTACCACTAAGCCACTCCTCCAACCCTCAAGGATCATTATTCAAATGAACGAGGTCACTGAGGTTCCTCCCTGCCAGCGTTCCCTTCACATGGATGACTCCGTGACTACCTAGCAAGGTAGGTACTTTTTTTTCAGTGCTAGGGATGGAACTCAGGGCCTCTTGCATGCTAGGCAAGTACACTACCACTGAGCTACATCCCCCACCCTCTTTTTTGTTTGTTTGTTTATTTTTTGAGACAGGATCTTGCTAAATTGTCCAGACTGGCTTTGAACTTTTGACCATCCTGCTTCAGCCTACCAAGCAGCCGGGATCATAGGCGTGTGCTACCAGGCCCAGCTGGTAAGTACTATTGTTGCTTTTGCTTTAAGGTGCAGAGGGAGGAGGAGATGGGTAAAGATCTCCAGAAAACTGGGCAGGAAATCCAGGGCACAGCGTCTAAGACAAGGATGCACTGGACACGGAGCAGGTGTACAGCCTTTGTGCTCAGCCCACGCACCTACGTCTATGAGCAGCAGCGTCTCCTGACACACCTCCCCAGCATCGCACGTCTGCTGTCCATGTGCAGTCCATTCAATTGGGTCTTGAGCCAGGCTGCTGCCGAACATCAACAGGATCCCTCGGTAGCATGACACAGCATCTGGGGAGAGGAAATCACCAGGGTGTGTGAGCCAGGGAACCCTCCATGTCTGCCCTTCCAGATTCTACACTAGGGAAGGTGGTCATGTTCTGAATCACACTCCAGGTGACGTGGATACAGAGTCCCTCAATCTTGGATTTGAAAGGGACTTGGTTCAGGTGCCATGGCTCACAACTGTAATCCAGCTACTCAGGAGGCAGAGATTAGAAGGATCACAGTTCAAGGCCAGCCAGGGCAAAAAAGTTAGAGAGACCCTCATCTCAATTAGCTGGGTGTGGTGGTGTGCGCCTGTCATTCCAGACATAGAGGAGATGGTAGGTAGGAGATTGTGAGCTGAGGATGGCCCTGGGCAAAAAAAGAATGCAATACCTTATCTGAAGAAAAATTAGTAAACGCAAAAAAAGGTTGTAGGCATGGAGCACCTCCCTACCAAGTGCAAGGCCTTGAATTCACACCCCAGTACTGCCGAGGAAGGAAGGAAGGAAGGAAGGAAGGAAGGAAGGTATGAGGGCCATGAATGTCTTCTCTCTACTTCCCTCTCTGATGAGGACAGATGGCATCCTGAGACCATGTACTACTTTTCTCTTTCTTTTCTTTTTTCTTTTTTTTTTTTTTTTTTGGCACCACTGGGGTTTGAATTCAAAGCCTCACGCTTGCTAGGCAGGTGCTCTACCACTTAAGCCTCTCCACCAGTCCTTTTTTGTGTTGGGTATTTTCAAGATAGGGTTTCTCAGACTATATGCCTTGGCTGGCTTTGAACCTCAATCCTCCTGATCTCTGCCTCCTGAGTAGCTAGGATTATAGGCATGAGCCACTGGTGCCACCCTTTTGACTGGATTGCTTCATTTCCTCATTGCAACTCCCAAAGGTGGGGACATTATCACTGTCACCATTCTCACTTTAAGACAGAAGAACAGAGACAGGAATGGTTGAGTAGCTTGCCCAGTGTCCCACAGCCAGAAGAGACATAGCTGGGCTCAGAACTCAGCATTCTGACTCCTTGAGGTCCAGGTTGGTCCATAGGTTTTGTGACAATCTTCAGCCATCTTGGTCCCAGTGGCCTTCAGGAGTCTAGCTGGACAACCACAAGCTTGGGCTTTATGTTAATGTCATTCCATGACTAACAGTGACATGTCCCACGTGAAGAAACTCTTGGACCTGGGACTCACAAGCACCTGTACCCTTCACACTGGCCCTGTGATGGAAGTCTGCTGACTTCCCCATATCACAGATGACAAAGGTGCAGCTCCAAACCTGATCCTTCTCCCTGCACCCCAACCCCACCCCACCTTCCCCATGTTGGTCGATGGCAGCTCCTGTCCTGCCTTTGCTCAAGCTGCAGTACTGCATCATTCTTGACAGTCCTTCCTCTCAAGTCACATGTTGCATCCATCAGGAAATCCTGTAGGCTTAAGCTGCAAAATTTCTCCACAACCTGACCACTCGCCACCACCTCTACTGCTTCCACCCAGGTCCAAGACCCCATGGCCTTCACCTGCCTCCTCATGGGTCTCCCTGAGTCCCCAAGCATACTTCCTCACTAAGGAATTGGACAGGGTTCTGGTGAGAGTGAGGGTCAGCACAGTCTGGGAGAGTGGCAGACATTTCCCTGCCTCAGGGCCTTTGCATTTGCTCCCCTCCTTTAATGTCTAGAATCACCTTCTTCTCCACTCCAATGAAAGAGACTCAGTGAGATTTTGAGACTTTTGGCACTCAAATACTGTTATTGCTCAAAGGCTGACTCAATAGCAAAGTGAAGACTGGAACTCACATCTCTCTGGTGCAGACGCTAGTACTTAACAGCTGTGCCCTGACCTCTTACTGGAACCGCTACCTGGCTCTTCAGGGGGGGCAGACAAGGATTTGCATGTTCTAGCTCCTTATATCATCTTCAAAATGGGCTCCTGCTGTTGACTGGTTGTAAGTAATTGGTGCTTTTGCACCTGGCTCTCATCTACTACTGGGCCTTTGCACAGGCTGTTCTGCTGTCCAGAAATGCCCGTCTCCTTCACTTACTCCCTGACTCCCAGCTTCCAATGCTTGGTGTTGCTGATGCTAAACCACAGAGCTGAACTTAACCAGGGAAGCAAAGCTTCTCCAAAATTTGGCTATCATGTTGAAAGCTAATAGAATCTGGACATATTGATGTATTAAGAGCATTTACTTACAGCATAGTGGTTGAATTTGGGGAGGCACGTATGTGGTTTGGGTGTACACTTGTGCGTATGCTGCGGGGAATGTGAGGGGTACATGCGGTGGTGTGGTGCTGTGGGATGGTGGGGTTCTAGGTATCTGTGTTTTGGGTGGGTATGGTGTGGGTGGCGTGCAGTGTGTGTCGTATGAATTTGTGTATTGTGGGTTGTGAGTGGACTGTATGGGATTTGTGACATATTTGTGGTGTATGAGAGGTATAGGGACCAAGAGTGTGGTATGTAGAAGGTGGTGTGTACAAGGAATAGTGTGACCCATGTTTGTGTCTGCCATGTGCACTGTGTATTGTGTGTGGTGTAGACAGTATGGTTCTGAAACACTTTGCACACTGTGAATGTTACCGGTTCCAGAGACAAAGGTCAAACCATTAAAACCTATATTAATCAAAAGAAAAAAATTTCTCAGACTCGGTGGCTCCCTCCTTCCTCAACACCATTCTGTAGCTTGTCATCCTTGGGAGAAATGACACCCCAGCCTGGCTTTCCAAGGGCTTAACCCCTCCAGCTACCCCTCTCCCCAGCTACCTCTTCACTCTCTACCATATCCTTAACACCAGTTTCTTGACTCCCTGACTTAACCAAGCTTGGACAGCTCTGGCCTCCATCTTCCACACCACCTGGTCCACCTGGAACCACTTGTAGTCGCCCCTCAATCTTTCCTCCCCAGCCCCGTGTCAAGCCCATCTCAGGCACAGGTGAGGAACCCTGCCTGAAAACAGCACCTTGTCTCCCACCTCAGGGTCTTCCCTGCTAAGAGAGCTTTTCCCCTTCTCCCAAGAAACTTGGGCTCAACTTTAGACAGGCCATCGCCTTGGGGAAGCCCACTCTAAAAACTACCCCAGAGATAGCATATTCCTGTTCTGAGCCCCACACTCTCTCCAAGCTGTGGTGTCTCCTTTTCCCAGTTATGAAGCCAGAGTCTGGCCATCGGAGGTTCCATGGGTGACGGTGGCATCCTGCATGGCCTCACCTTGCCGTGAACTATCCGCAGCTTCCCACCCTCGGGCAGCTTTGTGCAGTACCAGACAGGAAACCCTGGGGTCAGTGAGTCGAGCCCACATCCTCAACTCTCTCAATTAGGTCTGGTAAACAGGTTAAAACATGAAGAAGAAAGTCGGATGACTTTCTCCTTTGAGATCCACACAGGCAGATAAGGAAACTGAGGCAGGGTCAGGGAACGCCTTGCTCTCAGAGAAGCCAGGATGCCTAGCTGACCACCTTCCCTTTGCCTCACAGCCTGCTTTATTGAGACACTCCGTGGTACTGTCCATTTGCCAGGTGTGTGACACTGGCTGCATTAAAGTGGTAACTGGAGTTACACCCAGAGTCCCCACTTAACTCTTGCTTTCTCTGTCAGAACCTAAATAGAGAATAGGGGTGGTCAAAAGGGAAGCTGGCCACCTGGGTTTCCCAGGACCAGCATGTGTGGAAATAGAACTGGAGGCAAACAGACAATTCCAGCAAGATGAGCAGAGGCGGTGGTGAGCTGACTGCACATAAAGTCACATACAGAAACAACCCACAGTGCGTCCCAACCTTCCTCCCACTCTTCCTGCCCTCCTACCTATACACGACACCCAAATAACTTAGTCCAGCATCATTTAAAGGGCCCTTCAATGGTCTCCTGAACTTGGACCACAATCCCTCTCTCTCTCCCTCCTTTCAGCTGGCACTCCATCTCCCAAACCCTACAGCTACCTGGGAATTCACCAATCCCTGCCTTGCCTGTGCTGAGTGA